TTTCCGTTGGCCACCGCTTTGCACTTGAATTTGCGATTGGCGTCGGCCCGCAGTCGCGCCAGCTGCTCCTCGCTGGCGAAAGTCCAGTGCCGCTTTTGGCTGCTGTTGTGGTACATAGTGGAAGTCGAGACCAGCCCGAAGGCCTCAACACCAGAGACAGCCGATCCAGCAGCAGCGCGGCCCAAGACGGCCGCGGAGAAAGAGTCAGCCCGCGGAAGACCCGGCCGGCGCGGCGCACTGACGTCACGCTACGTACGCCGCTCCCTCCGTCCGCAGGGGCGTTTCCGGGGCCGCTAGGAGGGGGTGGCGCCTAGGGTAGGTTCCGCCCCCGCCGCTGGCGACGCAACGGGCGGAGCCTACACTCAGGCCCTCGCCGGGCTGGGAGCCTGGGCCGTGGCCCCGCCCCTACTAGGCAAGATTTAGAGGAGAAGCCACAGCAGAAGGCGTCCTGTCCATAAGGTACTTGGGAGCTAGGTGGAGTTAAACAGCTGCAATCCCAGCACTCTGAGAGACTGAGGCAGGAGGATCCAAGTTTGAATCTCCCCTAGGCAAGTAAGCTAGATCTTGTCTCAAAATAAGTACATAAATAAATAAAAAGGGCTGGGGTTCTTCTAGCCCAGTGTGTGGGCCTTGGGTTCAATCCCCAATACTGAAAAAAGCGGGGAAAAGGCGAAGGGATGTGGTAAATTGAGGTTTGGGGTTGGCTGACAAAATCACACCAGGTCGTCAGAAGTGGGAGATAGGCGCGGGTGATTGGCGATCTTTAAATAGGGCCTCTCTCAGAAGGTGCCACTTGAGCCAACGTTTGAAACAGCTGAGATTAACAGACTGTTCAGTCATCGGTAGACAGGTCGTGGAGCAGAGGAAACACTTTTGGTGCAAGGCAGCATTCCTGGCTCCTTTGAAGAGGGCTGTGGAACCCCAAAAGGTTGGGTTACCTGTACACCCAGCTCCATGGGTTGTATTACCCGAGACAGGAAGATCTAAAATTCCAGTCCAGCCTGGACCATTTAGCAAGGCCCAGTCTCAAAAACGAAACAAAACAAACAAACAAAAAATTAAAAAGGACTGGGGAGCCGGATGTGGTGGCGCATGCCTGTAATCCCAGCATTTGGGAGGCTGAGGCAGGAGGATGGCTGTGAGTTCGAGACCAGCCCGGGCTACATAGTGAGTTCCAGGTCAGTCTCAACTACATAGTGAGACCCTGTCTCAAAAAATCCAAACAAATGAAAAATGACTGGGGATGCAGCGTGGCGCTCCACAAATTTAACCCCAATACTGTAAAATTAATACATAAATAGCACTTTGGAGGCCACAGAAGGGTTCTTGGAGTACTACTAAACATCTGGAGAAAGAGATGGTTGGAAATTAAAGTAGTGGGTGTACAGTTGCAGTTGTGCACTAATGTAACCTTTGTCAGTGATGTTTTTACTTCTCTGTTGATAACCAGCCAGGCCTCCCTCATTCTCCTCCCAGAGCCAGGGTGTGTGGTACTCGGTGGGTTTCTTGAGACTCCAATCTCCCATGTTGCTTGTAGAGAATCTTGCAGTAAACTCTCTGTGATGCTTAAGAGTCTTTTTATTTTTATTATTAGCGTTTTCAAAGTGGCATTTGAGATTAAAAACATTACTTTGATTCCAAAAGTTGTTAGTGGTTTTGATGTTCATGCCTGTATCATGCAGCCATTTAGAAAGAGAGGGTAGGTCAAGAATACTTTCTAAAAATGTTCTAAATGTTTATCTAAGTGTGAATAAAGACAAATAAGATAAAGATAATAAGACCTAGAGAATTTAGATCTTTAAAACCCACATATGTAAAAGGAGGATGACTTAATTTTGCTTTCTGAGAAAATGTTAGAGAGATGAGTGGGTATAAAATCTTAGGGTTATGGCATTTATGTGTACTGTGCAGTTCTCTTTTTTGTTTTTATGAAAGTTATGCAACAGCTTCTTAACTTTGTGTAAAGAAAAAGAAAAATAGGCATTTGGAGGGGTTGGCAGAATGTGATTGCCACAGGGGTGTGAGTGAGATGGCTGAAATACAATAGTTTATCTAGGAAGCCGAATATGAAAACGTTGACATCACTTACCTATCTTTTAACAAACAGTCTATGAAAAATTAACACTGAGCACTTTTTCTTCCCCACACAGTAGGAATAGGGTTATATCTACACGATAAAGCTGTCGCTGAGGCCCTAACATTACGGCTTCCGCAGTGTGTGATTTTGTTCCCCTCAGTCACGGATTCTTTGGCTCATTTCAGATGGGAATCATGAGCTGACACGGTGCAGCTCTGCTAGCAGCCCTGATGGCACCAGATGACACTGGTCTCTGCCATCATGTGCCATTGCCACTTGGTGCCAGCTTGTGACAAACACTGCCGTGCTGGTCTCTCCTGGTGGTCTTCAGTGGCGCTGGTCTCTGAATCTCTTCAGGGCTAACAGCCCCTCGTGTTCATTGCTTTTTCTTTTGAGACAACCCCTCTGTCCACACTAGTGAGGATAAGCTGAGTAGATTTACAGGACCTTCTGGGTCTACACTGAGAACTAAATCACAAGCAGGTTTACAGGACCACCAAAGCCAGTCTTTATTTTAGGAGGGTCTGTACTGCACCACAGATGGATAGATACACCGCAGAGATCTCTCTTAGACTAACCCAAGAAGTAGCCCGGGAGCTGCTTATATATCAGTTGCAGCCCTGTGATTGGTCCAAGTGGGCAGGGCCCAGAGCTCTAGGACAGGGCAGCTGCCGTGACCGAGATTCAGTGAGGGGGTGGAGCGATAAGAGCTATTTGATTGACAGCCGTCATGTCTCTGGGGAAACAAATGGCATAGCTGAAACCAGGGAGTTTTCAGGAAAGCCCGCTGTGTTCATCACCGTTAACTGGGGTTTAGAGACGGTGGGCATTGTTAATGGGCCTGTATCCTTCTCACCCTGATCTCAGCTACTTTAGAGAGGTGGCAGCAGTGGCTGAAGTGGCAGAAGCAGGATCAGGCAGTTCAGCGGCCCTGGAGGAGAGACTGCTGAGGAAGCAGGGAGGACACTGAATGGGGGCAGGAAGAGAGGCACCACAGGGGGAGAAGTGTGGAAGCCACCTGGCGAGTCCACAGCCTGGCCAGCATGGGGTGATGGGAGAGCCAGGCGCTCTCCACGCAAACTTATAAAAAATAGAAACTGAAAGTAAATAAATTAGTTAAAACCTAAAAAACAAAACAAAAAACAAAGAAGGAGAGCAAGTAGGATGCTGCATGACACTTTCCTGTTCAGTTGTTTCTCCCCAGTTTGTTTCTTTGCTACTTTTGCAGCAGCAGGCAGAATGGGAACGCAGAATGTGGCATGTTTGTTTACCTCTACATCTAGTTCCAAATAAAAAGTAACAAGTGTTACTCTCTACTATTGTTTTCATTTATTTTAAGGAAATTTTCACTTACAAAGAAGAGAGGATCACACATTTTAATAATTATCAAAAGAAAAGGGTTAAAGGTGTGGGGAAAGTGGGAAGAGTAGGGGAAAGGTAATAATGGAAAAGAAAAACTATGAGAAAATGGAAAAAAGTGTTTTAAATGGGGAGGGGAGGAGGAGGTGAAGGGAGGGCAGGGACAGGGGAAAAAATGAGAACCAAGACCTGTCATGTAAAGGTACAAGATCCCTATGATGAATGTAACTATACTGTATACCTAAAATGTACCAATAAACTCAATGAAAAAAAAAGTATTATCAATACATGACCAGTTTCCTCCCACACCCACCCTCCACTCCACTCCCATGACTTTAAATCACATTTCCCTGCTACTGGATGAAGACAGATCAAACAAAACCAACAGACCTCAAGTCACTCTTGAAAAGTAACAGAGAAATTCACATTGACAGCAAAGATATGGTGACTCCATTACATGATACCCAGAAGTCAACTTTTAACAGGAAAGATTTCAGTAGCTTTTGAAGTCACAACATATGTGTGTGTGTCTTGTGCCCAGTTATTAAACTCCATGCTACAATATTCTTTGTAGACAAATTCTATTTTGACTGCAAGGATACACTGTAATCCACAGACTGCAGTCAGAGTTCAGGCTCTGTATGTCAGCGTTAGGTGTCTGCCAGTAGAACAATGTTCTTTTCTTACCCCGCTGCTGTTCCAGAGTTTCCCTTGAGAGGAAATTCCTACTCAAGATTTTTCTTCGGGGTAATTTTCCTCTTCTTTAGTCTCTACCCTAGTAATCGTAATGCTCTGGAAAAAATAAAAGCAAAAAGCTCAGACTGCCTCATTTTAGGAGAAAAGGAAGAAAACAAATTAGAAAGGTAAAGGAGTGACCATTAATTTATTTGCAACTTGGAATAATTTTGCAGTCAAATAAAACATTTTATTCAGTGACTTGGTTGCTTTTAAGTGGATACTTTCCAAACGTATTAGCATACATATATCCATACGGTTTCTGATTTCAGGGCCACAAAGAAAAAAAGTAGTAGGAGAGTAAACCACATTTATCTACCAAAATAAAGAATATCTTTTTTACTTTTAAATATGACATGAAACTGTACCCCTTCAGCTACTAATAGGAGATTTTGACATTTTAAGTATTCTGACAATGCAAGACCCATGAAGCTCTTTACAATTCTATTTGGCTAACACGCAATTACCATTGGCTCAAGATCCTTTCCTCAGCTTTCTTTCCAGTTGTCAAATTACAGTGAGGAGGGAGCAGAGTACCTTGCAGCAAATTTCTAGTTTTTCCAAAGCAGAACACTGCTAAAGGAAAAGAACTAAAGAGGAGAAATAACATTTTAGAAAGTGCTTTGATCTAAAATTTAAGTGCATTTTCTTTTGTTTTTCTGGAGTATTTAAAGTCTAAGTTTAAATTTAATTTAAAATTAAGGTATAAAGGCTTAACAATAGTAAACTGTCTAAATCTGTGTTTGACTCAGCATATACTTATTAGGAGGGGGCGATGAAGGTGGGGGAAAATGGAGAGGAACAGAAGAGGAAGTAAAAAGGATCAAGATGTGAGAGCCAGGGACTCAGCTCAGAGGCGAAGTGCCTGCCTTGCAAGCACTAGGTCCTGAGTTCCATCCCCAGTCCCCCTAAAAAAGGATCAAGATGTAATATATACCAATTCTTCATGCCTAATGGATTTATTATGGATTATAAACTTTTTTTATTCAGTGAGTTTATCAGTGCATATTATGTATACATTATGATCACATTCATCGTTGGGAATTGGTACCTGGGCATGCTGTGTCTTGGTGCTTGTTTTTCCCCATTCCCCTTCCACCCCTCTAGCCCTCCCTTTTACAAAAGCTTTGTTTCTGTTAAATCTAATTTGGAAAAAAATCCTAAAAAATCACCACTACAATCAAAGCCAGAAACTAACTGTTAAGAGGTAGTGATGACAGTGGTGAACGCACAAAAGTGACCAGCGTGTCTGCTGTGTACAAATAGTCTTCTCGGTGACACTCACCTT